GTTCGAGGGTTGTCAGGCTAAGGTCAGGTCTGTCACTGGAGGCTGAGGCGGAGGCGGAGGCGGGCTGGAGGCAAGTCACTGGAGGTAAGGAGGTTCTCTGAATTCCCCTCTCCACTTTGGAGTCAGAGAGCTACGCCCTACCAGAGCGAGAGGTTAACCTCTTTATTATATAAATAGGGAAACTGAGGCTGGGGATGCTGGAGGCAGAAAGTCGAAGCTGGAGTTCCGAGTCTGGGGGAGGTGGTGGTGAGATTCTTGCTGCTGACTCCCTCTCTCCTCCCTCCCGCGCCCCACAGTGGAAGCAGGTCTCCTTTATCCCTGGAGCAGGTGCACTAAGGTCCTCCCCACTTAGTGTGCCTTCCCACACCCTGCAGCGTTTCCGGCACGCTCCAGTACCCTGGAGGGTCCCCTTCACGTAGAAGTTCACGTCCACAGCCAGCAGGCATACCTCCTTGATGTGACCCTGGCGGCACGCTTCCTTAGAGACACCTGGTGGCAGACGCCCACGCTCATGCTCTTACGCACTCACTTTAATCATTCAGTGATTCCATCTTTCAGTAACCCTTCATTGATTGTGAGCTGGTCAGCCAGCCACAAGGGCTGAATTTTCAGTCACTGTGAAAACGCTCCGCCACCAGCCAGGCCCCGTGCTTCTCGGGTCCGGTGTAACCCGGGTCCCTCATGAGTGCTGCGTAGGTGCGATGTGGGCTTCCAAGTGCCTCACGTCCCTGGCAGGTGACTAGACTTGCCCATGCCTGTCAGGTCTCTCCTCTGAGTCACATGCATGTCATATATGTGCCACATGTTTGAAGTCCTTCTAGCCTCTTCCTCATAGCAGGGCTGATAATGCTAATCGCCAGGAGCCAAAGTTCACAAGGTGAAGCGTCATAAACACCCGAAGCTGCCTGTATTCCCAGGGAACTGCTCTCCACCATGGACAACGCCCACGCACGCAACATGAACACTCCCTTACGACGGGCCAGCTCCAGTGCACTGTCCGATGCCAGCCATTGTTACCAGCGTGGCGACTGTGGTCTGACCCTAGATATTATCTACACAAAGAAAAAAGAGCTGCACACAGGAGGCATGTATGGCTGTGCTGTATTTACAAACTGAGGTCGCAGGCCACTGGTCTGCAATTTGCTTTTTCTCTGTAACAATAAACGGACATCGAGCCAGGTTGTTGCTACAGATCCACTTTTTTTTCTTCCTGTTAAGAATTGCTTTTTATTTATTATTATTTTTTCTTTTCGAGAGATTATTGCTGTTGGGCACATGTGCTCGCCACTAAGACTGAGAGACAGAAAGTGAGAAATCACCCCCCAGGGGATGGCAATGCCAACATCCCTTCTCCTCCATTCTCCTCTTGGGATCGTGGACATGCATGCATACATGCCCAATTTGAGTTTCCAACCTCCAGGTGCGGGACTCAAACTGTGGTCAGCCATGTGGGAGTCCAGCAATGTAACCATTACGCCATCTGTTGGTCCCAATTATTATGTTTTTAGTAATTATTTTATTTTTATTTATTCATTCATTTATTTTTTAATTTGACCAGAGAGAGACAGAGGTTGAGAGTGAGAGAGAGAGGAAGTAAGAAAGCAAGCCACCAGATTCAGGACTTGAACCCTGGTCACCCATGTAGGAGTGTCCAGCGTCTTAACCACCACGCCACCTGCTGGTCCCTGGTCCCGGTTATTTTAATATGCTATCAGGCACGTGTGCTCACCAGAGACAGGGAGAGAGGGAAAACGAGGAAGTAAGCTGCCAGGTCTAGGACTCGAACCATGATTAGCCATGTGGGAGTCCAGAGCCTCAATCACCATGCCACCTGCTGTCCCCTCCACTTTGATCTTTTTAAAGGCTACATAGCGTTCACAGTATGGATGTACTTTGCTTATTTAACAGCTACTGTTGGTGGACTCTTAAGATGTCTTGATTTACACACACACACACACACACACACACACACACGCCACTGCCCCAGCCCAGGCTACAGTGTTGTGACAGACATCCCTATGAGTGTTTTTATACGAGCTTTTCTGAATGCTGTGTCCTAGAAGTGGAATTACAAGGCCACCTGCAATTTTAATGGCTGCCCCATGCCAGGCACGGCGCCTCACACGTGGAGGACCTTTGGGAATATCTGAGGCACAAATGAATAGCACTGACGGCCCTCTAGGAAGGCCACATCATTTCCAGTCTCACCAGTGGCCAGGAGACCGATACGAGTGGTCCCAGCAATGCCGGACTTGAGAACGGTCACTCTCCTTCAGGCCACCCTGCTGCTGCTGGGAGGAGTAAAGGCCCCACGTCATCGCCAATGAGAGGACGGCAACGTCCAGGCAAAGGGGACCCTCCTCTTCCTCTTGCAGGTCTCCAAAGCCCATTGCTCAACATCCTCCCACCATGGCACCATGGGCAACCACTGGGCAATGTCCGCTCGGGACTTCCCTGTCTGGAGCTAACCACATCCACACAAGCACTGCGCTGTCCTTCTGCCACCCCCGCCCTGCCCCTGACACTGAGGAAACGCCCACTTAACAGTCGGACTCACTCTCCCACTGCCAAGTCTGGTACTGCATGGTTGGCACCAAACTCTTCTTCCCCAGGGCCCTGTCTCCACCAGGAACCCCCAAACCACGGCCTCTGCTCCTGCCATGTTTGGGGCTTCCTGTACATCTCCCCACTCCTGGCCCTGCCACCTGCCCGGTCCTGATGCCCCAAGGATTGGTATTATTGGGAGAGTCCTGGGGGAGGCACCCCCCACCAGCACAGCAGGCAGCAGGGCCAACGCCATGTCAAGGCCTTCCAGCGCTCTACTGGGCCCGCTGCCTGGAGAGAGCTGGCAGTGAGTGGCCCGGGGCGCAGTGCGAAGGCGAGGATCAGCGCGGAGGTGCCCAGTCCTGCCTGAGCCCCCCAAAACGGGCACTGGCTGGAGTCCCCCTCGCTCTGCAGCCCCTGTGGGGCTCCCTGCTCTGCCAAGGCCCCCATTGGGGTTCGTGCTCAGTGAGGCTCTCCCAGGAGCAATGGTGAATGCCTCCTTCCTTGCAGGGGTTAACTCCACCGGTGGGGCTGAGTAGCAGCACCCCGGAACCTAGGGACCTAGCAGGGCTGGAAGAGGAGAGCGGGAGGGGCCACCTCCTGTCACCTCCTGTCCTCTTGCAGGAGATCCCAGGGTGGATCAGCTCAAGGTCTCCCTCACAGAAGCCCAGCCCCACCCAGCCCCTCCCTCAACCTCCTCCCCGGCCTCCTCCTAGTACGTCATTTCCAGCCGGTCTGGTCCTCTGCTTCATGGACCCAGCCCCTCCCAGACCACTTCTCCCCAGCTCCTGGTGAGTCAGTCCGGGAGCTCAGCTCTGGGTCATGTCTCTTTTATCAAAAAGGGTGAGCAGGGGGGGCCAGAAAACAGTCACTCCCACCCCATTCGCAGGCTCTCATCACCCGAGTCCTTGAGGACCTGGAAATCCAAGCCTCTCCCCGCAGTGGCCAACGGTGAACTGTCCTCTTAGAATGGCTATCAGAATGGCTTCTGGAAGGCTCGTCAACGGCAGGACTGTGCCCAGCGATCTCCCCGCCCCCGCGCCCAGCAGCGCCTGGACTCCCCTCCCTGGACCCCTCCTCGCATAGCCAGAGGCAGACGCAGCCACAGTCAATCGGGTTTAGTGAGCACAGGAGCCTTGTGCAGGGGGCGGGGCACAGTGGGGTCCTGGCCACGCAGGCAGGACTGGAAGGTGGCTCAGAGATCATCTGGCCCAGTCTCCCACCAGGACAGAGCGTCCCCACATCTCAGAGCGGGCCGTCCAGTCGAGATGTGCATACCTCCAGGAGCGCTCCTCTGTCCAACACCTCCAACTTTTGGTATTTTCGTCTTGGCAACCCCTAACGTGAGTTGAGGGTGTGGGCAGATATTGTTGTTCCCATCCAGCCCTCCGGACAAGAGAGGCAGCTGTCATGGAACAAGGGTGGGAAAAGCAATAAGTTAAATCCAGGGTGGCCAAAGATGTGGCAAGGTGGGCGGGAGCGTTCCAGGAGTCCCAGAAGTCTCTGGCTTGATCCAGGCCTTGAAGAGGAGGCTGCTGACGGCAAGATGCCAGGCTGGAGGTGGCTCAGAAGGTCGGGTTGTCAATGCCCCTCCGTGCCCCAGTGTATTCTTCAGGCCTGAGGCTGTAGGGAGGTGGCGGCTCTGTAGGGGGCAGGCCCAGGGTGGGCTTCAGAATAATCTGTAGGGGGAACCAGCAGTTAGCGTAATGGCTATGTCGCTGGACTCCCATGTAGTCGACCGCAGTTCGCGTCCCGGCACAGCCACCACCCGCACATGCCGGCTGAGGCAGGATTACTAGGGAGGGGGTGACAGGCCGGCTACAGCTCCCCCAGGCCCAGAGGCCTGGCACACGGGAGCTTTCCCAGCGTCCCTGTGGCTCTAGCAGTCCGGATGATAAGAAGGTACAGCCGCCAAGGAGCAGAGTACAGAGTGGGGCAGAGATACCCACCTCGCTGTAGGGAGGTGGAGGCTCAAAAGTGGGTGCCATGACCCTCTCTGGGGGTGCCGTGGGGGCCACCCCCAGTGTATCCTTCAGGCCTGAGGCTGTAGGGAGGTGGCGGCTCTGTAGGGGGCAGGCCCAGGGTGGGCTTCAGAATAATCTGTAGGGGGAACCAGCAGTTAGCGTAATGGCTATGTCGCTGGACTCCCATGTAGTCGACCGCAGTTCGCGTCCCGGCACAGCCACCACCCGCACATGCCGGCTGAGGCAGGATTACTAGGGAGGGGGTGACAGGCCGGCTACAGCTCCCCCAGGCCCAGAGGCCTGGCACACGGGAGCTTTCCCAGCGTCCCTGTGGCTCTAGCAGTCCGGATGATAAGAAGGTACAGCCGCCAAGGAGCAGAGTACAGAGTGGGGCAGAGATACCCACCTCGCTGTAGGGAGGTGGAGGCTCAAAAGTGGGTGCCATGACCCTCTCTGGGGGTGCCGTGGGGGCCACCTCTGGGGGTGCCTGGTGCTCCATCATGAGATTCTGTTCCGGCTCTGTGCAGTTGCGACAGAAGCGCTTAGCCAGGCCGCAGATGCACAAGAGGGGTATGATGACCAGGAGGATGATGATGAAGATCCTGGGGTAGAGACCGTCAAAGTCACCTGAGTCCCCAGGCCGCCTGGCCACACTGCATACCCTTGGTCTACACCCAGCCCTCACAGGACACCCATCCTAGGTGGGTCAGGCCCTCCCGTGGACTGTGCCCTGAGTCTTACCTAAAGGGGCCGGAGAAGAACTCATTCTCCTGGCAGCAGCCTTCTCTACAGCATTTAAATCCTTTGGGGCAGGTGCTGGTTGGGGACAGACAGAGGCAAGGAGAACGTTGGCACCAAGGTAGAGGCACAAGGGTGCCAGCCTTCCCAGAACACACCCATCTGCTCAGGACACGAGTCGCCTGGCAGTGGGGTGCTCCGTCACCCTGAGCTCAGTGGGAGGAACATGGGCTGGGACCCGGGACCGTTCCAGGCTCATCTCACAACCGGCCTGTGCGCTGGTGCCAAGGTACGTTCCATGCTGGGTCTCACTCTCCCCTCGGAAGTGGGCAGATCGAACAGCCCGGGGAGGCCTGGCAGGTGCAGGCACTGAGGCTGTACTGCTTCAGCATCTCATCTGACTGCGAGGTGTAGAGAAGGAGGGCGTAGAGGAGGGCCAGGAGCTAACTGGGGGGAGTGAGCGCTGGCTGGCACCCACGGAGTGTGAGGCGGGCAGGGACGGGGCCTTCTGGGGCCTCCCTGCACTTCCCGCCCCAGCGTCTCCTCACCGTGCTCCGGGTTTCCTGGCATTTATATTTAGGCTCAACACGGACCGCTTGCCCACCTCCCATGCCCCAGAGCAGGGATACCTGGGAGTGCAGTGAGGAGGCTGGGGATGAGGATACCCCCCAACCTAAAACCAGAGCCCAAGCAGGAACTCCCCCTGGCTGGCTAGTGGAGGGGGGCAGGGGGTCGAACCTCTCTTTCTGGGTGTGGGGAGTAGGGCTGGCTTTTTGATTGGAGCAGGAGTAGGTGAGGACGATGGATGAGGTCCTGTCCACTCCCCACACACTCACACACGAGCGCACACACGCATGAGCACACACACATATGTACATGCGCATGGGCACACACAGCAGGAAGATGGTAGGGCGTGATCTGGCTATCTCCCCTCCCCCTCCCAGATCAGAAGTTACAACTGAAGTTGCAGACTTACAAGAAACCACAATTGGCTGCAGCCTGTGGAAGAAAAGAGGCCGAGGTCAGTGGTCATGAACTGGGGTACCAGGTGCCGCCCCGTCCCTCACGGCCAGCAGGCTCCCGATGCACTTGGCTTCTCCCCCAAGCCTCTCCCTCTCTTCTACCATATCCAGGTCAGGGATTGGAGGCTGGCTGACCCTCCTGGCCCTCGAGGGTTCCTGTGCTCCTTCCTCTCCTCGCCACACCCCCCACTTGGACCCCCCCCACAGGCTCATCCCTGGTTGTAAATACAGCCCTCTCTACCCCTTCCAGTGCACCTGATCCTCAACTCTCCTCATCCCCACCCCATGCTCCGTCACCCCTCCATCACTCTGGCACTGCAGCCACGAGGCCCCTTCCTACATGCGAATCTGATCACCTAATAAGCTCGCTGAAAACCCCAGAGAGCCGCAGCCCTCCTCCCGTTCACTCCCTCCCTCCATCCCTGCTGTTGCAAACACACTTGTGAACACTTCTCACCATCAACAGCAATGCAGTGTATCTCAGCCTTCCGTGCAAAACTTCCCCCAGGTGTCTACGGGCTGGCTAGCACCACCCTCCCCAGTTGCCTTATTTTAAATCACACCCATTCCCCCAAAGCATTCCGCTCCCCCTTGTGTGCTGGATTTTTCTTTAGGGCTCTTCTCAACAGCTGACATACTTTATCATTTACTTTGCTGGTAACTGCCCGTCTGCCTAGTAGAACGGAAACTCCAGCAGGGCGAGTGCTGGAAACACATCAAAATATTTGCAGCGTGAATGAATGAGCATTCATTGATTACTTGGTTTCATTTCATCCTGGCCATTCCCAGACTGCACTCCGCCCCAGCTTCCTGGGACAACCAACCAGGGCTCAAGAATAGGAAGTCAGCTTTGGCAAGACCACCATTACTTTTTTAAATCACTATTTACTTAAAACAATTAGAAAGTATTTCAATTGTTAATCATAGCCATAAAGATAATATCAATGACAGCCAATAATATTTGGGGTGATTCCCCATTTTCATGCTCAGTACCAAGCTGAGAACCTTTCCTTCACAAGCTTTGTCCTTTGGTGGGTACAGAGGGAGGAATAAACTTCTGCAGGTTGGCCCAGAGAGGGTGTGGAGTCTTCCAAATCAAGCAGCACACAGAGGCAATTATAGAACTGGAGACAAACTGCGGGGTCTGGATACTTGGTGTCTCCCCTTCTCATCTCAGATCCCACCTCTGTCCCTCCTCTCCCTCCTCCTGGACCCCAGGTGAAAAGTGAAGGATAATTAACAGTTTTAGTAAGTTAGTCTCATTCCTGTTTGGAAGAGGGAGGAGCTCTTCTACCAGATTCCACATCCCCCTGGCTCCCCATTTTAACCAAGGATTGGTCTTGTCTGGGGTGGTTCAGGGCCTGGGTGTCAGACTGATCTTGGGTGGCCTCAGCTCACTTACTTGTGACTTGGGGACATTAACTGTGCCCATCCCCTGGGGTTGCTGGGCGGAATCAACAAGAGGATGCTCAGCCTGTACTGGTAGAAACTGACCTCTGATGACAGAGAGCGAAGATCCGCTCAGCTCACCCGTTAACCTGGGCCTGGAGAGGAGCTCCCTCCAGCTGCTCTGAATGGTCAGTGCAATTGCGTTTACATGTTCTGTGCTGGGGACTAACCTGGGATTTCCCCGGGGTTATCATAAACAGAAGGAAGTTTAAAATGCGCATTCCCGACCCATCCCAGTGTGCGGGACAATCTCCCATCTCTTATAGTTTCTGTGGGAGGAACGGGAGGGTGAAGGCTACTCCAACTCTGCCTCGTCTCAGAATCACAGGTCTCAGAGCACCCCAGCCTTGGGCCTGCCAGCCAGGTCAGACTCTACCACAGACTAGAGTTCTACGCCCAATCTCAGAAGATATGAGGGAGCCTCCTCTCCCCTGGGGCATAAGCAGGAAAACACTGCCCCAGAGAAGGCTGCGACATCCCCAAGGTCACCCAGCACTGGAGGAACAGAGCTGGGGAGAGGGGCTGGCCCACAGCCCCAGACCACACAGGCTTGCTTTCTGACACAGACAACAAGGAGCTGGGCAAGCCCAGGCTAATATGGGGGTCAAAGTCCCCATTCCTGCAGAGGCACCAGGTGTCAGACAAGTGGTGGGGAGAGCGGGGATCCCACCGGGCATCCCTCCACAAAAGGCGAAGGAACCCAGGCTTTCCCAGGGCCTCCCTCCGCCGCCCCCTCCTCCTCCGCGAAGAGAAAGGAAGTTGCTAACTGCTGTGGTCAGGAGGAAACCTTGACAATGGGAGGTGGTGACCAGGCTCCAGAAGCAGGCCCCTGACCCACAGGGTAGGGCCGATCGGCTTAACAGACTTACTTCCCAAGCTCTCACCTGTTGGAGGCCGGCCAGCAGGCTGAGCAGCAAGGAGGGTGCGAGGCTGAGGACCCAGGAGTAGGACATCCTAGCACGGGGGCCACTGAGCTTCCGTGTGTAGGGGGAGGAGGGAAGAGGCGGAGCCGCGACCCCTCCCACTTCTTTCCACCTATGGGGCCTCGCCCGATGGGGGCGGAGCTAGTGCACCTGGGATGGGCCCAGACTAGGGGTAGCGAGAGGGAGAGGAGGCTAGGGCAGGGGAGACGGAGGGGAGGGAGAGAGGTCTTGGGTTTTGGAAATTGGAAAAGTGATGAACCGATTTTAAAAATCGTCGGGTCAGCTCAAGATTATTAAGTTAGGCTTTCCTAACACCCAGCTCCTGCACCCCGAAGTGCCCCAGAGTGCAGGGAGGAGTGCTGCGCCAGGCTGGGAATGGCTCAGGGAGTGTGGAAGGAGCCGGACCGTTGGCGGTCCTTTCTCATCTGCACTTCCGGGGCTGGCAGGGTGGGGGGCAGATTAAGGAAGAGGGGAGGCGAAGGCGCAGGAGTGGATTTGTGAAGGGCCTGCGTGTGTGTGTGTGTGTTTGTGTGTGTGTGTGTAGGGGAGTGTCACCCCATTGTGTTTGGCCAAGGAGAGAGGAAGGGAGCGGCAGGGCCGATTTCAAAGTGACCTGAGATTGCGGGTGTGGGGGAAGGCGGAGCAGGAGCTGGGCCCTGGTACGTTCGTGTCCCCTACTCAGGAGAGGTGTTGGTACATTTCCTCTCCTGGACTCCAGGGGAAATGGAGTCCCCCAAACCTCAGAGACCTGCCCTCGGGTCCGAAGCTGAGGTCGAGCGGCGGCCAGGCAAGCCGGAGCGCGGCGAGCAGGCCCATCCGGATTCCTGGAAGGACCCCTCTGGGCGAGCCGGCCCGGGAGCTGTCGGATTCCGACCTCGGGGCGACCGCGGGGCCGGCCCTGGAGCTAGCGGTGCGGACGGGGTCCAGCCGGCAGGTGGCAGCATCGCCCAGCGCGGGGTGCCCTGGGCGCCCAGAGGGGCGCAGGCTGGGCCTGACAGACATTTTTTTCCTGGCGGGTGGGCGCGGTGGGTGGTAGGTTAGGGTGAGCCAGGAAACGCATGGAGACTGGGCTGGAGGTGGGCAGGTGGAGGCCGGACCCCTGAGAGACGGTGGGTGGGGCGCTGCTCCCTGGCCTGGGGAAAGGAGAGGGTCGCCTTGAGATCTCAGTTCTTAGGTCCTTAGGTGCCTGCTGTGGGGGTCTTCCGGCTGTCTTTGCCATGAAAAAGGTCCCGACTCCGTATGAGAGCCCAGCGTCCCCCGTCTGGCTTCTTTCTGCTCCATCTCCCGCCTCTTTCTCTGTTTCTCATCTCTCCCTGTCACAGTCTCTGTCTTAGGTCTAAGCGCTCCCCATTTCTCCAATGTCCGTTTTCCTGGTCGTGTTCCCGGTCTCTGTCTCCCCAGAGTCTTTCAATTCCCCCGGTTTCCTCGTCTGTCTCCTGTCTCTGCTGGCCCCCCTGGGTCTGGTGGAGGGTCTGTTTTTCTCTGCCCCCTGTGTCCACGGCCCTGGTCTGCGGGTGGATCCTGCCCTCCCAACTCGGTTCCCACTCCCTGTAGCTCTCCCTGGTTTCTGGCTTCCTCTCGCCCCCTGTCTGTTTCTCACGATCTCCGG